TTGCACCCCCTGAAGCCTGCCACCATCTAGCGTGGTGGGGGGTGCGTGTGTGTGAAGGGAAGTGATGCTGGCCAAGGGATTAGGGTGAATTCCCCATTTCTCCCCCACAAGTGCACCGTGTCCCCCTATCCCATAACCACACATAGCTGACGAGCCCGTTCTCGCCCCTGGCAGGACAATCAGGAGGAAATCAAGCAGCATGAAACGCCTCTCTCCCGCCCCCAGCACCCAAACCTCCTACTACAGTGAGTCCATGATGAGCGAGTCATACCTGGGGGGCAGCCGGGGCCTCGCCGCCCTGGGCAGCTCCGTGCTGGACGATGCCCTGGACAGCAGCACGTACTGGGGTGAGCCCTCCCTCCTGTGGTGGCCAGGGACCTCCCTGGGCACCTGAGGGGTGTTGGGGCAACCCCCTGCGCTGGTTGACTGGGTTGCCCCCTGTGGGGTTGGCAGTAGGTGGTTTCTCAGGGGGGACTTTGTGTTTTGGGATCAGGTGGGGAGCTCTCCACCAGGAGGAGGAGAGGCACAGGGGACACCGAGTCCAGTAAGATCAACGGGCTGCTGGAGAGTAAGACGTATGACACCTATGCCTCTTCGTCTGGGTATTCCTCGGAAGATGACTACACTGGTAGGGATGCACCAGCCCCTCTGTGGTGACAGGGATGCTGGGGGAGATGTCCCTAAGGGTGTCTAACAGCTCCCCCTGCATGCCACCCCCCTGTGCAAAGCCTTTGCCTTGAGTGACACACAGGGATGCAGGTGCCGTTTGGTGACTTACTGTCTTGCTTCGTCCTTTCCAGGTCGCTTATACTCAGGCCAGAGTAGCTCCGGGTCAGGGCTCAGGACCGCAGCCTCCCGGGTGGGCTCCTTCCTCTGGCAGGTGCTCACCTCCCCGGGTGAGTGGAGGGTTGGGGAGGGAGGTTCTAGCAGCATCTTTCTTCCCTGCCAGCACCTCCACGCCCCACATGCCGTGTGTGCTGTTCCCTGATCGGTGGAGGGGTTTTATCCCCCTGTGGGAGCATCCTCAGGGACGGAAGGGACATCCCTGCTGTGACCTCACCTGAGGCTTGGTTTCTCTCCTGGCAGTTTGGTTCGTGCGATGGCTGTTCTCAGGGCTGGCAGCTGCCTGGCACCGCCTCACCGGCACGGCTCCCCATCTGGGCAGCGTCCCCTTCTCCAGGTGAGCGTGGTGGTGGGACACCGGGATGGGGGACACATGAGGAAAACCCACAGGACCCTGGAGACAGGGTGCCCTACGGAGCCCGGCACGCGCGGGGTGGGTGTCTTGTGCCAAAGCCTGGCTGGGCTTTGCTTTCCCTGTGGCCCCCATCCAGAGGAGCACTGCGGTGGGGGAAGGTGGCTGCTGTCCTACAGGTGCCTCTTTCTTCTCCTCGCTCCAGGCGCTACCCACGGCTGAAGAGGTCCCTGCTCCTGCTGCTGCTCCTCCTGCTCCTCGCTGCTGCTGCCTACGGTGAGTCGGCCTGGCTCCATCTATTGCCCAGAGACCTGGGGCAGTGCGGAGCATCCCACTGCTGTACCTGGGGAATGGGATGGGATGGCCCTGAGATCTAGTGCTCATGGTTCATGGTACCCTGGTGCATCCGCACCCCTCCACTGGGACCTCCTGGTTACCCCAAACGATGCTGATGGTTGAACCTCCACACGTCCACCCTATCCACAGCTACGGTCCATTACCAGCCCGCTGTTTTAACTATCTTGTTCCCCTGTGTGCCCAGGAGCTTGGTACTTCTACCCTTATGGGCTGTCGACGCTCAGCCTCCCCGCATTCCCGTGGTGGGGAGCTGGAAAGCATTCCTCCTCTGACGTGCCTGAGGCAGGGGACCTGACTGCTCTGGACCAGGTAAGCCTTGGTGAAAGTGCAGTGGTGGCCCAGGTGGGGTGAGTGCCTCACAGGGAGAGCTGGGACAGTATGGTCCATGGCTGAAGGAGCCCTTCCAGGGGATGAGGAAGTGGTGGACGATGGGGTAAAGGTGGCTGCACGCTGGTGGAAATGGTGGATGTGGCCACGTCACTCTCAGGGTGTCCCAGGGATGAAGCACGGGGAACATCTGTCTTCTCCTGGGAAGCAGCAGATGAATGAGATGCCACTGACCCTGGGGACTGGGTAGCATGGGTCCCTTTTCACAGGGATCCCTGTGGAGCAGACAGCCCTTCCGGGGGTCTGCACCTCCCCAGGGGGCTGCACCATGCCCTGCCTTTGCCACCGCAGGGGCTGCGGGGAGAGCACCGGCTCCTGGCTCGCTTCCAGGCCCTGGAGAAGCGCTTCGAGGCACTGGAGGCCGAGATGTCACGGTGGGGGCGGCAGCAGTGGTAGCAGGGGGAGAGACACCCCCGGGGGACGTTCTGGCACTGCTGGAGGGGCTGGTGAGCCGCCGGGACGCAGGGCTGAAGGAGCACCTCCGCACCGACATGACCAGCCACCTCCAGGTGAGGGGTGGGGGTGACACTTGGGGAGATGGGGGCATGCAGGGCCGGGCTCTGATGTCCCCCTCCCCCGTTCCTCACCCTGCAGAGTGAGCTGGATGCCTTCCGAGCTCAGGTGCAGAAGGATTTAGACGGGCACCTAGGGAAGATGGCACAAGCCTCTCAGGTAAGGGGCTGAGCGTGTGGTGGTACCCGGGCAGGATGTCCTCGCCGCCGGCATCGCAAGTCTCACCCCTTCCCCTTCTCCTGGCAGGATATGGAGACACGCTTGCTGGAGCTGAACACGGAGTGGCAGAGGTAATGCTGGCTGTCCAGGCAGAGCCACCGCTCTGTTAGGCGCAGGCAGATGGCAGGGGGAAATCCCTACAGCGAGGCTTAGGAGAGGTTTCCAGGTCTGGTTTGCTCGGGGCAAAGGAGAGGTTGAGAAGCACAATCTTGATTGGAAAGGAGGGATGGATATGTGGGTGTGTTGACAAGAAAGTGCCCTGGCTGGCAGCGGGCGATTGCAGCAAGTGACCTTTGCCACCGTCGTTTTGCATCACCGTGAGGAACGTGGCCCTTCAGCTGAGGGGCGAGCTGGGGATGCTTTTCCATGGGATGCAGTAGAAGAGGTCATTGCCACAGGAATTAAAACCATTTGGGGCTGGAGGTGGGGTGGGGCATAGGCAATGGGGGCCGAACCTCTTCCCCCAGTTTGTAGAGGGGAGCTGGGACTGTCAGCACACGATTTTGTTGCGTTTCTCTCGGCACAGCTCGGCGCAGGAGGGCCTGCGAGGGAGCTTCCAGCAGGAGGTGGGCAAGCTGGAGCAGGAGGTGGCAGCGCTGAGGAGGGAGCTGGCTGGCCTCAAGTCAGACCAGGAGGCGATGGGGAAGCATGTGGAGGGAATGCTGGAGCAGCTGAAGGCGGTGCGGGCTGACGTGAGTCCCCGGTCCCCACCCTGTTTGGCAGAGGGAGGTGCGAGGGTCTGTGCTCTCGGGCTGAGCTCTGTCCCCACCGTTTCAGGTGGAAGCGCAGTTCCCAGCATGGATCAGTCAGTTCCTGTCGCAGTCCCGGCGGGATGGCGCCGCTGGCCTTGTCCTCCAGCGGGAAGACTTGCAAGCGGAGCTCCAGGCCCTGGAGCGTAAGATCCTGGCCAAAGTCTTGGAGGACCGGAGGCTGTCGGCAAGGGATGCTCTAGGCAGTATCGGAGTGGCCCTGCAGCAAGGGGGAAGTGCGGGGGTGACAGAGGAGGTGAGCGCTGGCCTGAGCCCCAGGGACATGATGGTGACCACAGGGGTGGGATCGGGGGCTGTGCCCCATTGCGTGTGTGCGGGGGGGGGCTGGGACACATGCCTGGCAGATGGCAAAGCATGGGATAGCCATTACAGCTGTGACATTGGTCCTGGACTCACATCCCACCTGGCAAGAGTATGCCTGAAACTTCTCCATCCCTTCTCGCCGCCAGCCTCCCCTGGCTGTGGCAGTGCCCTGCCCTGGAAGGGGTCACAGACGGCGATGTCCGTGTGCCTGCGAGGCTCTTGCTGTCTTAAAATCCAAGTTTCTGCTCGTGCATCTTTCACCCATAAGGCAGGGCAGGTGCCAGCGAGGTTTCCACGGATTGAGCATCTAGATTCCTCCTGTCCTTCAGCAGTGCCGCTGAGTCATTTGGGGCAAAGCATTTCAGCAGAATGACACCAAGGGAAAAAATGAGCCTGCTTGCTTTGGAAAGAGTTGTTGGCAATTCCCTGCAGAGGTAGCGGAGGGAGGGATCAAACTGGGATTAGCAGTCCCCGCAGCCTGCGCAAGCTTCATGCGCGCCGTAGAGTTTAGACCCACAGCGGTGCTGCAGGATCGCAGCTCCCGGGTTTGGGTTTGGCTCTAGAAGGATGCTCTGGCAGGCATCCCCTTTTCCAGAAGGGAGGAACTCCCATCAGTCCTGTGGGATGGGGTAGGAGGGACCAGCAGACGATGCTGAGGAGTATTGAGTGGGCTGTCAGGTTCTGTCTGGTACCTGCTGGGGGACACCACTCCTCCCCTGGGGCCAGCCCCTCTTTTGGGATGGGGATGGGTGAGCCCAGTGTGCCTGGGAGCTGCCCCTCCACTGCACAGCTCCTCTCGTCTGAGATATTTTTAGCAACCTCTAACGAGGCTTCCCAGCCAAACACGTGTCCTCTCCTTTTTGCCACGGTGATTCATCCCCGGCTGTTTTGTGGGAAGGCCCTTGCGCCCTCTCCATCCCCGCAGGGTGGAGGCGGGTGGGGGGCAGGATGCCCGCCCTGGCCCTTCACCCTTCCCATGTCCTCTGCTCCCGCTGCAGCAAGTGCATCTCATCGTGGGCCAGGCCCTGAAGCGCTACAGCGAGGACCGCGTGGGGATGGTCGACTACGCCCTGGAGTCGGCGGGTAGGTGCTGGGGGGCTCTCACCCACCCGGGATGAGTCGGCCATCCTGGGCAGGGGACCACAGGGTGCTGGCATGCAGCTTACCTTCTGCCCTCCCCTCTCCGGCCCAGGGGCCAGCGTCATCAACACCCGCTGCTCGGAGACCTATGAGACACGGACGGCGCTGCTGAGCTTGTTCGGCATCCCCCTGTGGTACCACTCGCAGTCCCCCCGTGTCATCCTGCAGGTGGGCACCCTCGGGATGAGACCCCACTGAGGGGGGGGCAGGCTGGTTCTCACTTGGGTTTGGTGGGTTTTATTGGGTTCTCGCTGTCGCTCCAAGCAAGTGGCCAGGCTGATGTTGGGGAGAGAAAAATGGCACTGATAGCGATAACATTGCTGGTGTCTCGCTCCTGCACTCGTAGCCAGATGTCAACCCTGGGAACTGCTGGGCGTTTCGTGGGTCCCAGGGCTTTGCCGTCATCCGCCTCTCCGGCATCATCCACCCCACGGCCGTGACTCTGGAGCACATCCCGAAAGCCCTCTCACCCCAGGGGACCATCCCCAGCGCCCCCAAGGACTTTGCTGTCTACGTGAGTGCTGTCACCTGGAGCTGAGGGAGTAGGAGGGGGACACGGTGGGAGGGTGCCATGGTGCAGGGCGTGGGAGGGGAGGGCCAGCGAGCCCCATACATGGCTCTGGGGTGCTCTGGAAGGTGGGTGTTATCCTGAAGAGGAAGAAGAATCAGTATTGGAGGGGGGAGAGGGAGTACCAGGCTTTAGGAAGGGTTTTGAGGGACACTGTGAGAGAAGGGATTGAGTAGGTGTAACTCTTGGTCTTCCCCCTCCCAATCCTTCCCCACTGGCCCCTGTCCCCACTTGTCTGTTTTGGCCTGGAAGAGCAGGAGTGGGGGCCAAGCGCACTTGCATCTCCCTCTTCCACCCTGGGTGTGCTCATCACCTCCGGTTCTCCCTCTCTGACCACCCCTGGTTCTCCCTGCCCCCTCTTAGGGCTTGAAGGAGGAGGGAGAGGAGGAGGGCCTTCTCCTGGGGCAGTTCACCTACAACCATGACGGTGACCCCATCCAAACATTTTACTTGGAGGTAAGCGCTTTGCCTTTGGAGCACCCAACCCCGAGAAGAAAACAGGGCTCCTGGGGTCTCTGAGACCTCAAGAGCTCTCGAAGGCTCAGGTTTTTCCTTCCTCCTCTCCCCAAGGGTGATGGCAGGAGCAGGTCCCAGCTGGTAGAGCTGCGGGTGCTGAGCAATTGGGGCCACCCTGAATACACCTGCATCTACCGCTTCCGCGTGCACGGGGAGCTGGCGCACTGACCCCTGGCTCTCACGCGGGACGAGAATGCTGCCGGGCCGACAGCAGGAGGGAAATCGTCCGGTTTGCCGCTTCGCACGTAGAAATCCTGGGATGCACCAGCAGCCGCCCCGGAAGGAGAAGAGCTGGTGTTTAAGGGGTGAGGCTTTCACTATTCCAAGGACCTGGGTGGTGAGGCAAGAGTGTCCCACGTGGATCCTAGCGCAGCCTGGCTTGTTTTCAGTGCGTGTCGGACATTTTAACTTTTTTAAGCTAATTTTTTTATCGGGTCTGCACAGCCCCTTGTCCCCATTGCCCTGTTTCTCTCTGACGGTGTGCCTAGCGTTGCCGGGGCTTGGGAAGGGGGTATGTAATTTTGCGATGTGCTTCACGCGGGCTTGGGCGTGATACGGCGTACGGGACCGCAGTGACCGGCTCAGTGCTG